AAGGCAGATGGTGAGACAGAATTGGGAGTTCAAGAAGTTTATGGGGCAGTCAACTGACTTCTTGATAGAGGCAGACCCTGCTCCCCTTACTCGGAGATCCACATGGAGACTGAGCTGCCAATAGGCCACATCTGAGCAGGGGTCTAGGTCCTCTCCATGCATGGTCTTCTGTTGGTGCATCAGTCTCTGCAGGACCCTCTGGGCTCAGATCCTTTAGCTTTGTTGGTCTCCTTGTAGTGTTCTTGACATGTCCCTCTAATCCTCCCCTTCTCATCCTCCATAAGACTTCCTGCACTCTGCCCAAACTTTGGCCATGAATTTCAGCATCTGCTTCAATCCCCTGTTGGGTGAATCCTTTCAGAGGACCCTCTGTAATAGGCTCCCATCCTGTTTCCTCTCTTCCACTGCTTCTGGTGTCTACACTGTTTGCCATTCTGAATGAGATTTAAGCCTCTTCCCTAGGGTCCTCCTTAGTGTTTAGCTTCTTTAGGTCTGTAGATGGCTGTCCTATATTATAGGGCTACTATCCACTTCTAAGTGAGTATATGCCATGCCTGTCTTTGGTCATTTGCCCCTGGTGATGCAGCCTTGCCAGGCCACTGAGGAAGAGGATCCAGGCAGTCCTGATGAGACTTAAGCTCTGGACAGATGGCAATAGTGGAGAACTCCCTTTTCAGTGGACTAGGGGAAGGGGACAGGGGGAAAGAGGGAGAGAAGGTGGGACTGGAGGTAATTGAGGGAGGGGGCTTCAGTTAGGATATGTAATGACTAAATTGTGAAGAAAAAATTAAAATAAAATATAAAATAAATTTGGGAAAAAAACAACAATAAAAAAAGAAGTTTATGGGGGACATGAAATGTGATACTGATGAAAGATAAAAGGAAGTAAACAAAATAGAAATGCATGTTTTCAGTGTCCGTGCATGTGGAGGAGCACTGCCAGACCTCTAGGCAGGTTGCCCATCCCACTCTGATACTCCAAAGCAAAGATGGTGCATCAGAGATGTCACCTGCTGGACAGAAATGGCAGTACAGGCTTCTCTAGGATTAGTTGTGGGTGTGGACTGCCCAGTAATGGTGTGGCTCATGTTGCCAACTTTCTGACAAGTGCCAGTGGCCCAGCTACTGGAGGTTTCCGCTAACTGCACTCTTTACAGTAGAACAAACAGTTCTTTTTTGATGTGTTTGCCCATCAGTGGCCAGCACACCATCTTCCCCTCAGGGGCTAACATACCTAAGTTAAAGTTCAAAGTCCATGAAAGCATTAGCTTAACCTAGGTTCTTACTTGGTGTCACAGACACTCTCCAAAACAAGAAAGCCTTGGAAACTGGTCTTGGTCTTGTTTATCATTTTGTAGGTAATACGATGCAACTTTCCTTCTGCCAGGATGAATTATAACAACAAATAGAGATAGAGAATTAGGAGGAAATATGAGAATTAGTTAATAAGTGCCATAGAGCTCTGAAATCAAAGGCTAGGGAAGCAGATAAAGCTGTCTCTTCTATTCAAAATGGGAAAGGAGAGTTAGTACCTTCAGGAAAAATATGTAATGCCCATTTAAATGAATTAAGAGGCCAGCTGTTCAAGCTATGGCTTGTCTTAGTATAAGCAAACACTCCTTCCCAGCCTTGTTGGGGATCTTGAGTTTAAGACTGTCTAAAACTGGGGAAGGGGGTCATCTGTTTCTTTGCTTAAACTAAAAACTAGTAACTACCTGTTATTTTTCTCTCATATGACCAAAAAATTAACTAATCAAATTTCACCCCATATCAGAGGATGGCGAACTTAATGTAAAGAGTTAGACAGCAAATAATTTCTATAAGTTTGTGGGCCACCCGTAGGTGTCTGTTGTTCTCCCCTTTCCTCTTTCTCTCCTTCTTTCCCTCCTTCCTTTTACAGTCTCATAAATTTTCTTGAAATGTAAAAAAAAAAAAAAAAAATCTAGACTGTGGCTTCCTAAATGTGTGTTGAGTTCTAATTAAATTTCTTTGACTTCAATCTAATTTCAGAAACTGCAGAGCCCGCAGTTCTCTATTGCATGGCAGAGGTATCCTAGTTACACTGGGCTGACTTTCCACCCTGCTCTTCCCTTCACTGCTCCAGTTACTTGGAAAGTTACCGCCTACTATGGCGCTCACTTGTCTCTTGGGAAGTTACCGGCTACCATGGCGCTCACTTGTCTCTTGGGCAGAATGAACGCCACCGGGCTGCCTAAGGAAATAGCTGTGACTTTGTGAGCATGCTCTGCTGAGTGACTACCTAAAGCAGAACTTCAAGGGATGGTACTTCCTAGGCCCCTCCCCCCACTTCCTTTTGAATCATTCCAGCAGTATCATAGTGTCTACCTAGTGTGTTCAGTTTTGCCTAATTTGATTCAAATTTATCAGTTAATGCTTTGATTTTTTGGGAGAAATTAACTTTGCTTCTTCTCGTATTAATCTTTACTCATCAAAAGAGTTACTCCTATATATCCCCACAGTATTGCTAAGGATGGAATTTTCATAAGAGTTTTAGAGAATTGTTCATGGCCAGTACTATAGAAATATATAAATATTTTGAATGGCAAGCCAAAATAATTGCTAAAATTTTAAACTTGTGTGAGTTTTAAAAGGGATCTATATATGAAGATAGGGTTAGGGATAGAAACTTGCTTATTTTGCTGAAAGAGTTCTATTTTGTGTTCAGTGCCTTCTCATAGTTTGGTCCGTACCTATGAGTCTGTTAACACTTATGAAGCATTTCTGCTTGCTGTGCTGCTTGAGGCCATGACCATGCATGATTTAAATCACTCACATCTGAAATATATATTACTTAAAATCTGGTTAATGTATCTTCTCTACTGTTTGCTTCCGTCTTTATATTCAGTGTGAAGCCTGCACCCTTCACATTCTGAACATACTCTTTTGGCCCAGAGCTCAGGGATGACCAAAATGGCTGAAGATTCTTCCTGACTCACACAGAAAGTTAAGCTGTAATCCTTCTCTTTCCACTTTGATATTCATACTTTTTCTTGGCTCTCTGGTTCTGGGGCAGTTTGGCCAGTCTTTTCTAAAGAAAAGAGGTAACCCAGAAGTTACCTCCTTGTGTAGTTTGGAAGGCTGTGTAGGTATTTAAGTGCTTTTTAGCGAACAGAAGGGGTGTAAGCACTTTGACCTATGTCCCATATTGTGGCTCTCTCTTCCCAGTCTTTTCTTTAGCTGCCTTTCCTATTATAGTAGTCTCTAATGAAGAGTCCCTTATTAACTTGACTTTGAAAGTTACCATTCGTTCTAGCTAGCAACTGCTCTAGGATTCTGGCTCGCTCTCTCTCTGACTCATGTGGCTTCAAGGTCCACATAAATAGAACGAGCATCATGATCTGCCTTCTTGCTGTCTTGAGTCAGTGACTGAGTATGGCCTTGTGCATGGTGGCTGCTCCTTAGGACTTAGGTTTCACTTGTTGAGGCAAAGTTGCATGTGAAAAGCTTCTCAATGTTTTATAAACATAGCAGATTGCTCTGGTGTATTAAAATAAGGCTGTTTGCTGAATCATTCGTGTTGCATCCTTTAGGAATCTACTTTGTAAATAAAATGTATTGAGTTCTTGAGATAAACAAGAGCAAGAGTACACGAGACATAATGGAAACAGGAGCCAGTTGTTTACCTGATGGGCAACACCCAGCCACTCAGGACCTAAAGATCAGTTACTCACCTGCAGAAGAGGAAAAACCTCAGAAATACATATTTCAGGTCATTCAGAAATTTATGTTGTCCAACAATGGAAGAAACATATGTCTTATGTGTAGAAATTTCAAATATCTTCTAATTAAGATATCCTAAAATGAAACATTTAAGAAACTAACATCTAAATACTAAATTTCTGTCAATAGGTTTTACATTAGTAAATCCAGGTTATACTACTCTACAGCTATGAAGCTACATTTTGAAACATTGTCCAAATTCCTAAATTTTAAAGAAATATATATGAAGCAGTATTTTCTTATATTGAAACTGCCTTCTTTTGTATGGTGTGGTGGGTGTGGTAGAATGTCTATGAGACCTGTCTATGTCTATGAGAATGATTCTGTGTCTCCACGGTATAGAAATGTGTGGTCAGATAGTTCTCCTTTTGGGGTATACTATCTTAAAACCACTCCACTCTCCAAAGTTACTAGAGGCAAACATACATGAATTACTACCTGATTTTACCAGTCTATATTTACACTTTGAGAACCTGCTCAAAGTCTAAGTGGCTTCCAAAAATAATGGTGGTGATGGGCTAGGCTGCCCTGTAAGTCCAACAACATTCCATGATACTCCATTCTTAACCACAAGCAACATGATGGTTTGGGGGTTTTACTTGTTTTGTGTGTGTGTTATTATCTCCAACAGGCCGCTTACTAGCGCTAAACTTCCTAGTGTTAGAGACTTATGGTGTCCACAGGTTAAGAACATTTGCTCTCATCTGCTGTGCCTTCTGTACTTAACACAGCAAAGGTATGGCCTCATAACCTATGTGAAAACAGATGAAAAAAGATATGTTTTTTTTTGGCAGGCATCTAAATGCCTCCCTGAAAAGAAGGCAACTAGGAGCAAGGTTCAGTCTGAGCCCACGATGAAGCAAGGGTTCAAGTTAGAAAGTTAGTTGTCTTGGTTCCTTGTGCACATTTGGCTTTAATGAAACATTGATCCGAGGTCTGAGGTTTCTCTTAACTTTGAAGTTCCTATTTAAAACTTATAATTCATTCATTATTTTTGTGGGACGTGGTGTGTGTGTGTGTGTGTGTGTGTGTGTGTGTGTTTGCTTGTACCAGTACATGTGTGGAGGTTAGGAGGTCAGAGGACAACCCACGGTGTGGGTTACAGGTGCATCCCAGACATCTTGAGTCTTGGTGGCAAGTGCTTGTACCCACTGAGCCATCTCCATGGCATACAACTTACAAGTTTCTTAAGACTTAACTGTATGGGTCATATTTTCATAGGACAAAGCATTGCTCATTGTCCTCTCCACCTCTTCCAGGTTTATCTTGCAGACTATGGACTTTCCTACAGATATTGCCCCAATGGGATCCACAAACAGTACCAGGAAAATCCCAGAAAGGGCCATAATGGGACAATAGAATTCACAAGTTTGGATGCCCACAAAGGAGTAGGTAAGTCTCTCTTCCAGCTCATATTTTTTTATTTCAGAAGGATGATTGTGCCAAAGTACTACATGAGATAATTGTGTCATGGTCAGGTAGAAGGGTGAGTGCCCTGGTAAGATTTCTGTGGAAAGTAGAATTCCTGCCATCGCAGAGAATTCTGCGTTTCTACAGAAACCAGAAACCGTGTGACTAGACAGAGACTGTGGCTCTTGAGAATGGAGCAAAGTCTGGCATTCATTAGGCTGAGAAGTCACAGGTCTGTATGTAAGGCTGCTGGGCGGTGCTGAGGTTGTGTTAGAGTCAGCGGGCGGCCATGTGCTATTCTGTTTGCATGGCGTCCCTCTCAGAGTCTTGAAGAGATACTCTTTTCACAACAGCAGTATTTTCTGAACCCCCAAAGTGTTAACTTGGGAAATCTCTCCCAGTCGCCTTTCATAGATCTTACTTATTTAAACTCACTTTGATGGTATTGGAAACACATTTGCAGGTAAATTACATACATAGCCCTTTTATTGGATATTGATTGTACTGCCTTGCATTCCAAGGCAGACTTAATTCAACAATTCCCTAATTAGTTAAAGTCATAACCTATGTCTTGTATTCATTTACCATTAATTAAACCTTAGCTGTTTATTACTCTGCAGTCCAAATCCAATAGCCAATCCAGAAAGCCATGGAAAAGGAAGTAGGGGGTCAATATTGAAAATATATGGTGCTGAGTCCCACCGATGGCTGCTTTGCTTACAATCAATATGCTCAGTGCAACTGTACTTTCTTAGTTGCTCTGTCAGCAAGACAAAAAGTCAATTCTAATGTTATGCTAGTGAAAAAAATTGCAATTATTAAAAAAAAAAACTTTGGTTTTCAAAATTATATTTTTTGCAAACTGTTCATAAAAGTATTGTCAGATATGGTAAAGCAAACATAATTTTTAAACAGCTCTGAGAGAAATACATCCTCACTGAATGTCAATCAGACATTTGCACTGGTGGTGGTTGCTGAACTGTTACCCTAAACGAGCACTTTGTAACGAGTTTGGGTTGGTGCGCACAACTGTATGCTATTGCCTTTCCCATTAAAAGGGCCATTGGCCATGTAATGCAGAGGGTGTGGACCACTTTCTGGAGCAATTAAGACCCACAGACTTTTAAGGAAGGCCATCAAGAAGGTAGAGCCAGTGGGTTGATTTCATGCCACCTTCTTCCAAGGAAGATTGTTCAGAGAGAGCTTCTGAAATGAAAGTTAGCTCTTACACTCTGAATCAGAGTAAAAGAAATCATAACATGTCTTTGTCAAGGTCGGCGTTCCTAGAAAAGTGGTGATCAGTGTTTTATACTTTTTCACATTTACATTGTTAATGACTTAATTAACACTTAAGGGTAAAATGTGGCGTGGCTTTGACTAAGTTAGGAGACAGGAAAACGATGACTTACAGCGGCTCTTCTCGCAGTCTGTTTAGGTTTATTTATCTCACGCACATGAGTGTTCGGCCCGCATGTAAATGTCTGTGCCGGATGCCTGCCTGCGGCCCACCAAGTCCAGAAAAGGGCGTTGGACTCCCTGGAGCTGTACTTCCGGATGGCTCCAAACCGCTGTGTGGATGCTGGGAGCTGAACCTATATCCTCTGCAAGAGCAACACGTGCTCTTAAGCTCTAACTCGTGTCCCCAGCCCAGACAGTGGTGCATTCTAACTCTAACTTCTCTCCGTGCACCAAAGAACTTTCGCCAGACTTATTTTGTAATGTAGAATAGAATTTTCAGAGAGCCAGAAGTACTCCTGGCCTAGTGTTGTGCCTGGAAACTCAACACACAGATTCCTAAGCATGGCTACGAAGGTTCTACTGCTGACTCAGTCGAGAGAAGCCCAGTGGTTATATGTTGTTTTGAGCAAAACTTGGACAGCAGCATTTCTGAGCGTCTTCTTTAGTTAGTTATGCACAGTATGCTCTGTTATCTTCATAAAATATTCAATAAAGTTTCTGTTCTGTGCTCAACCTTCTACCCCCTCCCACTCATGGTGTTCAGTGATTGATACACGGGGTAGATGTCACCACTGTGTGTCTTGGGGAGAAGATTGGGCTCAGGTCGTCATAGAGATGGTGCTGCATCCTGAAAGAACTACTCAGGAAGTCCCATGTGAGCGATGTTGACATTGGCTGTGAAGTCTTATGCTGGAGTGAGTACTCATTTTCTCACAGACAGCTCAGCGTTCCTTGTAAAATAGTACATTTCTTTCGTGCATTTTGCTAATTAACATCTATATAAATACGTGTATGTATGTCCACATATGTAGGTAGATATATGTGGACGTACATGCCTACGTTTGTTAAATACATGTGTGTTTGTTCTGGTATAAAAATGGAAGAATGGATATTCTCACATGCTTTAACAGTGTTTGTTCCTAATATTTTCCACTGAATTTTGTAAAATAAAGCATTTCAGCTTAGAATTTTGTTAGAGATGAACTAATCATTTAGCCATATTTAGAAGCCAGAATAAAAGGGCTAAACCCTATATGTAAATGAAGAAACCCAGATTCATAAATATTCATTAGCTATTAGTACAGTCACTGTATAGTTTAATATGAGAAAAATTTTTTCCTGTATCAGTCCAGGGGAAGAAGCAATGTATAAGAAAGCAACAAGAATCAAGAAGAATTATCAGTGTGAAACAGAAGTAGTTGCTAAAGTGTTTCCTACAGGGCAAGTATATCTGGGTATAGTCCGGCAAGGGGAGTGGCCACCTTGAGCTCTGCCTGCTGACCGTGCAACTTCTAGCGGTTATCTGGACACTGAGGACATAGCTAAGTTTTAAAGGAATTTGTCTAAGGTTCCACTCAGTCCTCTTATCTACATGTTTTCTTATTCCTCTTTACTGGAGCATAGGTAAAAAAGAAGGGAAGAAAAGACCAGTTTTACTACTAAGTAGCTCACTAAAACCCAAGAGCTGTGCAGAGGGACATACTAAGATGAGATGGAAGGACAAAAGCATGAATGGAAAGATGGTGCTTCCTGGAAGTACTGTTGAATAGCATGGCTTTTAAGCATGGCAGTTGCTCTTCCAAACCCTAGTCACCCAAGGGTAGAGTCTGTGGCTGCCTTGCTCCATTCAGTATCAAACTACAGTAAGGATATTAGGCTTCGTTCTTCATTATTAATTTTCACTCCATAAAAACTAGCACATATGAGTACTGCCATACTTTGTGCTTGTTGCAAGATAATTAAAGAGAATTATATGTGTGTCAAATACACTGTTTTAAAATTTGTTGCATTTGTAGTAATGTTAAGAAGCAATATTCGGATCAATGTGTAATATAGATTTTCGCAGATTTTTCTACTCACTGAGGCATGCAGTCAATACCTAATTTCTCTAGAGACAGACTGCATTTAACAGATTGAGTGTTCTTAAACACTTCAGACCTGGGCACTGAGTATATGTTACCTGTTTTAAAGCTGACATCATTGATGACCATAAAATATGGCATCTAAATTGCATTTTAAATATCTATTTGTTCATATAATATATCCAGTGTCAAAGAAAAATATATTGCATTCTTTAAAAATATTTTTACCATGTGCCACACTACATGGAATCCAAGTCTTGTGTTGCTTCTTGCACGACTTCAATTCATTTCAGGACTCCAACTTACAAAATATATGTGAAAGAAACCGAGAATGTGTTTTCATGCCACTAAACTGGTGATATAGCATGCGTGACACGACTGAGATTCTACAACTAAGTCAAAAGAGCAAACACATCGTTCTGTTAAAGGAATAAAGCAATACTGTGAAGTACTGAGATGCCCTGCTTTTCACAAGGGACCAGAAGACTAGACTGTTAATAGCTTCTGTTTAGGTGAACTGGAACGCTGTATGTAGCCTTTGAGTAACGAGGAAAGACAGTGAAGGCATTGCTTCTATGTGACATATGCCCTTTTGTTTTACATTTGATTTCTTTATTACATGTATTTGGGTGGGTGAGGTAATGGGGCACAGGTGGAGAAGTTCGTGGACAGCTATGGGATTTAATTCTTTCCTCCTACCATGTGGGTAGCGGAGACCAAACTCAAGTCCTCAAACTTTATCCACTGAGCCGTCTCATTCATACACCTCTTTTATATTTATACATGTCTCTTTGAGTTGTAATACTCCTTCGCTTTTGAATTGAACTCATTGGTTAGGAAGATACAGTGCCCAGTGCCTACATGTAAAGTCTCTTTGCTCTATTGAATTACTCTTCTTAATTGCTTTACATTAATCACACACACACACACACACACACACACACACACACACACACAGAAAATCAGAGCTTAGTATGTAAAAGGTACTAAAGAGGAAAAGCAAAACTCAGATATGAGGTTTATTGTTTATTTCAAATGTAATAATACTTTCCATTCTACTCTCCTAATGCCCCTTTTGAAAGTATAATGGCTGCTGCTCCATCGGTCAGACTTTGCTTGGATGTGACAAAGTACCGGAACAATAATCCTCTACAGAACAGATTTGTGTTAATTCACAGCCTTAAAGGCTAGAGTCCATGGGCTTCTGTTTCATTTAGAAGCTAAATCCATCCTGAAGCCCTGCATGGTGGCAGTGGAGTCACATGGTGCAGGCAACTCCGCATGGTAGCCAATGAGTAGAAAAGAGGGAGCTGAGAAAGGAAGAACAAACAGCACAGCCCTCAGGGACTGCTTCCTTCAGTAAGACCAGCTCCTTATTCCCTACCTGAGCGGACTTAATTCCAAAGGCCAGCTAGTTCCAATCAGAGTCCCACACCCCCATGGGCACCAGCCAGTCCCAGTTAGAGTCACATAGCCATAGTATGAATTCCCCTTTCTTGCTTGAAAGGGGTCTTTGAGCTCCCTTCAGGGTTGCTGCCATTTTGTGAAGATGGTGACCCCAGCATGCTGGAATTCTCTGCAGAATAAACACACTTTGTTTTTGCACACCATCTGAGTCTGGGGTCTTCTTTTAGCAATTCACAGACCCTAACCCTACCCGTGTCCATTATATTAGTAATTCATCAAAGGAGGGAAACCCTCAGGATCACCCCCTACTCCCTACTCTACCCCGCCCCTACTGTGTGCACATGCCCCAGAAGCCCCAGTCTACCGCCGAGCTCTAGTGCAAAAGTCTGTGGCAGATGTATCCTACTCAAACCACAACAGGAGGCACCGCAATACCTTCTTGCTCTTTGTACATTAGAGTTCACAAGATATTAAAAACACAGTTAGCAATTAGAAACCTCAAAATAAAGTGTAAATTTCTTTTCCTGTCATTAGTGACTGCTCCCATTTCTTGTTTAAAATTTTCTACTTTCTCGTAATTTCACACTAAATATAGTAATATGTTATTCAAATCTTGTCTACTGGAAACAAATGTTTTCAAATTTGCTTTATTTCCTACCAAATCATTTGTTTTCTTTGTGCTCCATAATAGATAAATGAAACTAAATCGAAAGTGTACCTGTGCTGCCCAGTTGTGTTTAGAGTTAACACACTTTTCTGTCCTTTCTTTACCTTTGGTGAATTGGTCCAGTTAATTACTCTAGTTTAGAGTAGAGACTAGATCTGTAGTGTGACCTTTCTGTTGATCTTATACCAGCTTAGGTGGACCATTACCACTTTGTAAATAAATATTTTTAATAGAGGCCCTGTTATCGTAATAGAGTGATCTGGAGGGAGCTTTCTAGAAAGGATAGTTGCAAGGAGAATTTTGTGAGTAATTCAGTGATGATGGGAATCTGCTACTTATTTATTGCATAGGCAAATAACTTTGTGTGTTTTTATATTTTAGGCCAAAATGCCTGTGTCATATACCTCCTTCCATAACTAAAGAAGTACTGAGATGATTTCAGTTGGGTGATTTTTAAAGTGATGATGGAGGCAGTCCCTAGACTGAGCATGTGCTTGCTTCATTTGGAATGATGGAGACTCAGTGTTGCTCTGTTGGGCTTTGCTCTCCAATACGAACAGTTTTTTAACCTTTTAAGCCTCGGCTTTCTTATTGCCAACACGATTAGTAATACTGATGCTGTTGAAATGATTAAAAGGTAATATCGCAGCACTACTGATGTGGTACAGTAGCTGTGCTCTATAGATCACAAAAGTTGTTTTATTTTAATTAGGAATTCTAGTGTCAGCTATCTCTAGAATCTGTTGTTTTGTTTTGTTTTGTTTTTTCTGAAATAGAAGTTGAGTCCCCACCTGTGCCTATTTTTTATTATTGTTCTACTTGGCAATACTTTATCATTTTGAAATGTTGAGCAATTGCAAACAACATCTTCTCAGTGAAAAGAGTAATTTGCCTTGCTCCGTGCTAGTAAGCACAATAAAATTAGATGCTAAATAGTATTTGGAAGCTAATTTAAGAAAGTTTAGAAGGAAATTCTTGTTAACAAAATTGCCAAACAGAAAGTAAAGTTTGAGGTGTTGGGCATCTGTGGAGGACCTAGAAACAATAATATTAGTTATGAAAGGCAACTGAAACCCTTATGTAGTGTAATGACTGATACACACGTTTTCAAGAGAGAGCAATTCATACTATGCTGTCTATCCAAATGAATACAGTGTATCAAAGGCAAGTAGACTGTCTTCACCATTGATCTGCAGAGCTGGAGCATGAAACAGAGCTGGGGCTGGAATTCCACCCTTGCTTTATGGATTCCTGCTCTGGAATTCTCCATTTCTTGGTTCAGTTAGCATTTTCAAATGAATTTGGAAAGCTTGTGATGAAACTAGCCACTTTAAATTAAAAATATTTTCATACCCTTATTTATTTTCATTTCATGTTTATTAGTGTTTTACCTGCAGGCATGTATGTTCACCATATGCATGCCTGGTGCCTGCACATGCCAGAAGATGGTTTTATACCCCTGAAACTGGAGTTACAGATGTTTATAAGTTACCATATAGATGCTGGGAACCAAGCTTGGGTCCTCTGCTAGAGTAACAAGTGGTTGTAACTGCTGGGCTATCTCTCTCATCTCTAAAACTTTTCCAATTATTATTCAGTACTGGAGATGAAACTAAGTCTTGCATGTATAAGGCATGTGCTCTACCAGTGATCCACATGTATAGTTCCTAGAGATTCCTAATCATGTCTACTCAACCATACACTCTTCTCTGTACAGTAGCTGGATAGTGGACATGAAAGTGTTTAATTTCCCCTAAGAAAAGTCAAGCCTTTTTGTCTCTCTGGGATCAAATTTCAGTCAGTGAGTCATACTGAAAAACATTTTCAATGCTTTTGACATGCTTTTTAGGGCTAGAAAAACATGACCATTCTTTTTACCATTACAAATGTTTTTGTAAGATTGAGTGAGAGTAGTGGTAAAATGTTTGCTCAACCATATTGATTAATGTAGCATATATAGTAAAAGACTGAAACTTTGATAATACTTTAATTAGATAAGACTGAATTATAATAGTGAAGTAAAAACTCTCAAAGGCCTATTGTCAGCAAAGACCAGTTTATGAAATATTGGTTTCAGAAATCTAAATAAAATTTCCCTCAGCTGGAGGTGGCTGGAGTCACTGAGGTTCATTCCACATTAATTCATATTTCCCCCCTCCTCTTGTATGTAGTCAGTATCGCCCAAACAAGCATCAGAATACCATTTTTTGAAGAGTAAAGGATGTCAATTTTTTAATTGCTGCTAATCAGGAATGCCTGTAATGGAAAAGAAAAGAGACTTGTGCACACATCTGTACAAATGGAGTTATTCCATTATTAATGGAAGATTTATCACTGAAGAAACCACTGCAGAGAAGCATGGTAGAGCCTGTTTTCATTTTAATACCAGAGCCAAATTCTGCATTAGGAAATTGTTGAAGCCCATGCAGAAAATGAACAGCACCCATGGGCCTGGCCTTCTACTGGATTAAAGGGCCTTTAGTAGCCCAGTACTGGAATGGCAGCCAAGACCAAGCATGACAGCAGTCAACGTGCAGTGCGCTCTGCTGTAGAACGGCTTTATGTGCTGACCTAGAGCAGCGGCAGCATGGTGGCACCATTGTTCTCAGTGGATGGCTCTGTAAGTTAAAGACCACGTCACTCTGTGACTTTTCAAAGTTTATTTAATCGAGGACAGTGAAATAGGATACCTGTTTTTACACCAGCTGTAACAGCCACACATTGCTCAGAATATTATGTATCCCTGCACAGCTGAACGTTGTTCAACTAGTAGAATAAACATAAATGCTAGCTCATTGTTTTTACAACGGCTTTTCCAAGCTTATAAAATGACTTGACTTTATGGGCACTCACTAAGTGTGTTAGTCACTAGTTCAATGACTTATTAGCAGGTGTTAGCTGTATTTAACAATTCTTAGGTCTCATTGTCTTTTGTTACAAGGTACTTGAGAAAAAAGACGTCACATTGAGATGAAATTAGTCCACAACATTTAAGAGATGGACATACATGGTATTTACTGGGATCTGAGCATATTCTTTAATATGTATTAAGAAAAGCCATCTTACAGTAAGTCTCTATTTGGCTTCAGAACTTCCTTCCCCACCATACCTTCTGGACCACGTTCCCACCATGCTTGCCTCACTTTGGCTTTTCTATTCAGACTCAAGACTGGTGTTTTTGTGGGGAGCGTCTTCTATGTGGAGATGATCTGTAGCACTTTGAAGCTGTGTGGCCATGGCTGCTATACTTCCACGTAACTGAAGGCCTTCAGGAACTGATTTTAAAGACTGCACACTAGATGGCAGTTTTGTCATACTCTTCTGCCTTGAGATACGGCCTCTGGTGTGACAGAACAGGAAAGGCCGGCAATGTTTAGTCTGCACTTAGAGGGTCTCTGCATGACCGAGGCAGACCCCATGGACTTCCTGGAACATGTGTTAGCAATTTAGCTGCAGACATTTATTTCTTTGTTTTACTGCTTGGCTCTTTGAGAAAGTGTTGGTGCCGGGTTATGGGTTGTCTGGATCATGTCAGAGGCCATGGGATCAAGTTCATATGACAGGCTAGACTAAGTAAAGATGAAGTTGGAGGAGGTGAGGAAACTGACCCTTACTTCAGCAGTAAGTCGCTGGCTGGCTGTGGACTGAGGCCAAAGGCCCAGACGGTTAACATTGCTCCAGCTGAGTAAACACGACACTTTGCCCATTTGGCTTTTTCATATTTCGTCAATGGGAGCTCACTCAAAGATTTCTCTATTTTTCATGAAGTTTCTCATCCTCCCCTTTCTGCAGCCCCTTCCAGAAGAAGTGATGTTGAGATCCTCGGTTACTGCATGCTGCGCTGGCTATGTGGGAAGCTACCTTGGGAAACAAACCTGGGGGACCCTGTGGCCGTCCAGACTGCTAAAACCAAGTAGGGATTCTGAAATATGCCATCCTTTCTTGTGGCAGGACTAAGAGACCATGGAAGGAAGTAGAAATCACAGACAAAATTGCCTCTCTCCCACTGTCAGCACAAACAAGTATCATTGGTTTGAAAAATATTGCTTAAAAATAAAATCGTGAACAAACATAAAATCTATTAAGACAATACTGTAAAATTATCAAGTATTTTATATTTTATATTTGCAGTGCAAATATAAAATAGGTATCAGTTTGCTGACATGCTGTTTTCCAGCACTTAGATTCCAGGTGGAAGTGTTTACAAGATGGACTGTTTTCAAATAAGTGTGACACCTGGGTGAGGAAGTAGTCTCTCCTTGGTGGGGTTGATATCAACTGTGCAGAGGAGCAGGGTGAGGTGGGAGGGTAGGGCTTGTATTTCTCAGGTGAGAACATCATACCTCATATTCCTGTCTCAGAAAGTGTGTGTTTTGTTACTTGAGTAGAAACAAAGAAAACTTTTACATGAGCTATTTATGTGAAATATGCTTACAGCCACATAAAGCTTTCTAGTATATTCTACAGTCAAAGTTTATTACCTTGATTGTGTTAGCATAAGAGGTCAGTTTTATAACAAAGTGTTTATATTTTATAAGTCTCTCACTGATGAGCTGGGTCCAAGGCACAGAGTAGCCCGCTTTTCCTCACGTTCTAAGTTAGACTGACACAGTTATCTCTGGAGAGACAGCTGTTGTAGCAAGGCAGCGGAGGTTTAGGAAAACAAACAATGAATATAGACACAGAGGGGCAGCTCGGCCATATAAATCAATCTTCAAATTCAAATCTTTTTTGGACTGGGTCTCACTCTGTACCGCAGGATGTCCTCCAACTCATGATCTTCCTGACTCGGCTCCCAAGTGCTGGGATTAGAAGTGTGCACCACCGCACTTGGATTCTCTGTGACAGATGTTTGCAAACTGATATGTACAGTAGTTGCACTTGGGCTCATGACCCCTGCAGTCCCTGACACATTTGTGCAAGTCAGAGTTCGCACTCTCCAGCCAATCCTGTCTGTTTGAGTACGCCTGTCACTGGCATGCTCTGCACTTGCGGCCACGTCAGCCCACAGGCGCCAGCACTCACAAGCAGTTCTGGCCTACAGGCTGCTCACCTGAACTGATTGAAGTAGTGTATTTCAGTTAAAGGCCAGCATTTTATTCTGGCAGTCAATGGCGGCCTTTCTTTTAATAAGGTTCGTAAATGTTTAGTCTCGTATCAGCATGTTATAGAGGTGTCTTCATTTTGGTAACTAGTGTGTCCATATATGCATTCATATATAGTAAAAGGATACTGTGTAAAGTACTGTCTTAATAAGTGAAACAGTACCTCGACTTTACAATGTTAACATCTTCATTTTTATTTGGTTAACAATGTAAATTCAAATACTAGTAGCGTTCATTTGTTATGCATCACAAATGTAAAAGGTCTCAGATCTCTTACGCAGTGAGCAGCCCTTTATTGGCCCGTGAAGGTGTGACACGAGCAGGGTGGCAGGTTAGTCACAGCACTGTCCCGCCTTTGCTGTCACTGGCCGCTTGAGAGCGCGGCACAGGCACACACTGCTGCTTTTCTGCTTGCGTTTCTTGGTGACTCATTCACTTTATCTATAACCTTAGTTGAGACTTTATACATTTTTGCTGCATCAACTAAAGAAAGTTGTATTTCTTTAGCACAAAATACTGCAAAGCATTTAGCAGGTGTCTGTGGTCTTGTTTGGCGTGTTGTATTGGTATTTCATGTTAACTTATTTTTAATCACTGGATAATAGAAACATTTGCTTATAGACAATTAAAAATAATCCCTCTTCAGTGATAAATTCATGAGGAAAAATTACTTCACAGCAGCACCAAGGTCTTTTTGCCCACAGATCACTAGAGAAACCAGAAATGTTGAGCACACAGGGGCCTCTCCTCAGTGGGGGAGATAAAATGCCTGTTTTCCCAGAAAGGTGGGAGTACATATTGTTAGTGACCTCTGACCTTTTGTTATCTGTGGAGGCAGACTTCCCCCAAATGCCCCAGAATGTTTATCCCAGACTGTCCTCCCTAGCTCCCGGTTAGTAGAGCCCATCTTTAGGAAGGGGTGTCACAGGTATTTGAAGTCCTCTATGGTGTCTCCATTAGAGGCCACAATAGATTCTAGGTCTTTCAGCTATGGAACTCACGTGTACTTTGCAAGGGTGTTTCTGATTGGCACAACATAAACTTTACCGTGTACCTGGCATTGAAATGATTGTTGCCTGGAAACCTTTTCCCCCAATCCTCCTGAGTTTAAATATAATGACAATAAACCCTCTGGCATTAGACTCCCTGAAGTTTTGATCCAGGCTGAAAAAGTCAGTCTGAACCAAGTTTTCATTCTCACCTCTTGGTGGATCATTTGCTGCCTGTCATGACATCCTCAGAGACCCCACACCTCTCCAGTTATAAAATACAATCTGATATGTATTTTTATTCTTGCTTTTAAGGGAACATAATAACAAGCAATCCTGCCCCTGCAGTCCTCAGTTGTATGGAATTTGAATTAAATCGTCTCTGTTCCTACATTGCTTGGCCTCTAGGTGGTTACAACTGTAACATTGGCCAGTAAGAACTAAGACCCACCCCCTTTCTTTGTTAATCTATCCATTACAGTTGGGAGGGGAAGGCTCAATTGTGTTGTCCTATCCACACAAAATCAGACTTTCCTATTGTAACTGAAACCGTGAGCCTGCGTTGAAGACACTCACTGTGTGCTGTTGCTGTTTTGTTTAGTCTGCTGGATGAGCTCCCGGACTCGGTGCTTGCATGGGCTCCTGCTGGAAGCAGTTGCTGTAAGTTGGATGACAACACCTCTTTGCATTTCTGTCCACAGGTCATCCCAGGAGCCACTGTGTAGATATTACCCTGACCACTCCCTTTCCCAGCTTCTGGGTCACAGTCTGCTAGAGAAAATCTTACATCATCTTTGACATGAGCCAAAGCAGTGGGACTCTACAGACTGTCTGACTTTTCTAGTTTTATTTAGAGTTTTAGGTCTGTATTTTGAGAATCATTCAGGTTATTCAATAGAAACTAAATTCTAAATAGTTTTAGAATTAAGACATTTTTGAATGGCAATAAAGTCAACTTATAAAAAGACTATATTGAGTCAGTGATCATTCAGGCCTGAATGTTATTTATACTGATCGGTCAGCAGAACTTTTTAGATAAGAAAATCACCTGATTTGGGCAAGTATAGGTACATTTTAGAAAGAGTTTTCTCCTGCAAGTGTGTAGAGGACGTTTTCTGGGTTCTTTGACATTGTGGGTGTAAGTGGTCAATATACTCGCATTTCCCATGTCTGTGACGTGTGTGTGCATGTGTGACTCATTCAGTAGTGACTCAGCATGAAGCTGCTTTGTCACAGAGAATGGAGCCAGCTAACTCTCCCATCAGACTTTTCTTTTAGCAGCATAGCTTAGAGCAAATCTTATTCTCTCTTTCCATGAGGCCATCTCAGGGTTAGCCTGTACCTGACATCTAGAAGTGCATGTGGACACAGCTGGCCCCTAGTTAGTCCGCCAGCATATGTGTGAGTACAACAGTAGAGATGTCGTTTCAGCCTGCATTCACAGCTCATTGTCGACTATGAAGCAAAGTTGTCATTCACAAAGGAAAGCAAAGAGGGACAACCCAGGTCTGTTCCCAGCATTCCCTGAGTCCCATCGAGTGTCCTTGGGCCAGGCTTCGTTCTTCCTCTTTCTGTGATGTTTTTCTTCTAATGAAAGGGACAAAGGAGAAGAGATTCTTATTTGGGGAGATTAGCTAAAAATTGCAAGTTTTGTCATTGTTGTTTGTTTTATTCTGTAACCACATTAAAGAACTTGATAAAGGTGACATTACTGTCTTTTGATAGTCTTCTTACCAAGCCAGATAGTATATTTTCTCAGTGAGACAGAAAGCATAATAGATCAGAGGGGTCATTTCCTTTTTCAATTATATGCTTCCCTTAACCTTCTTGCCCTTTCGTCTCCGTCTAGAAAGGCCTGGCTGCCTTAGATTGTACAAGGCGATGCTACCAAGCCAGTCTGTGTCCCGTGGCACTTGTGTCATTAGATAGAATTGTAGTCATATGAAAAACCTAGTGACAGATTCCTCATTTTCATCCCCATGAACTTAGTCTATGCAGTAATTATAAAACAGGTTTCTGCTCTGAGAGCACAAACTGTCACTAGCAACCTCTTTTTAGGAGACTATAGAACCGGAACAACCTTGAAAACAAACTGATTAGCAAAACACTTATTCCTGTCTTGTCTTTATTTTAATACAGCAATCAAGAAGTTTGTAGCATGTGTGTCCAACTCAATGTGGTACATCCAGAAGTCTTTGGATTTTAAACTGTTAGTCAGTGAGGATGCTTATGTTACTAGCCTGAAAAGCAAATAATTCAAGAGTGTGGTGATTTTGTGCTACTCTACGCATTCTGTTTAATAGCTCTGGAAACTCACAAGTATATCAAAGCAGAATAAGCCCAGATCTTTTAAGGATAACATGTACACCAGTGCCTCTTCACAATGCGTGGAGCTTCAGGCTGATGATAATAGATCCATAATGGTGGTGGTCCTTTCCCTTTTGGCCCTCCTGACCCTCACGATGCCACATTTTCTCAACCTCATGCCCATGAGGCCATTTGTAGAGCTGCTCTGAGTTAGTGGTATGCTGGGAATACCCTATAATAGGCATTCGTTCCCAGCAGACTCAACCCTGGTCTCCATTTGGGATCTTCTGATTAATAGACATGTAGTTCATACTAAGCTTAGCTTACCAGGTATCACAAGACTAAAAAACAGAATATGCCAGAAAATGGCAGAGACTGTTGTTTAGTATTCCTTTAGGAACTGGATTTGGATGTCCCCAGAGGGACACCAGAAAACAACAGTTAAACTTTGTTCTAACGCAGGAGCTGACTACCCGAAATCTGGAGGACTAAGTATTAGATAACTGATCTTGGTATGTCTCATAAGTTACAGAAGAAGGGGAAAGTAAGTTGCCTAAGTGCTATGCAGTTAAAAATACAAAACAACAGCAAGAAAGCCAGGAGCTCTCATTTTTATCTATGTTAGCATTTCGTTTCTAGATAGTAATTCTAACTGTGTGGTATAGAATGGTCACTTTGGGTGAGCTGGAGACATGGCTCAGCTAATAAGAGGGTTTCCTTCTCTTGCAGAGGACCCGAAATTAGTACCCAATCCTGGCATTCAGGAGCTCACAATGACTTATAACTCTAGTGCAAGGGGATCTGATGACCTCTTCAGACTTCCCTGGGTACCTACATTCACATGTGGGTGGGCTCACATACTAGTGTCCATGCATGCATACATAGGTAGATGCTTAAAAAGGTCACTCTGGTTTTAGCAGTAAGAAAGGATGTGACTATTACTTTTGGAATTGTTTTGTCTAGGGAGTGAGAGCCAGAGCCTCTACATGTCTGTTTGGATGGAGGAAGGACGTGAGGAAAGGGAAAGTGTTAGGAAGTTCCTCCTCAGCTCATGAAGCTGTCCAGACTTTCCTGCCATGGACTAGAAACACCCAATTGTGAAAGAATGAGGTACTCATATCTGGGTCAGTAGTATGTTTTGGGGGAGTAAAAACATGTTATAAACATTATTGTAAACCAATGAAAATATGCTCTTAGCATGACCCTTCTGAAACAAAAGTACAGAGCATACACATTTAGTGTAACTCTTTATCACTTTTTATTATTAATTGTGCTTCATTCTAAAATCTAATGGGCAGGCGTAGCCCAGTGGCTGTGTTAGTGCTTAGCATATGTGAGGCCTTCCCTTTAAAGCCTATCGCTAAGATAAATAAAAGCTGGCAAGCAGAGGTACTAGGTAGCTCTGGTGACACACTTCTACATTAGAGAGAAAATAGAAAACTCATCCTACTGACCTAAAACCAAGAATAGCAGATATGCACCAGAATACGGGTATAGAGGACTCTAGGGAGGAGCCCTCCCCGGTAATGCCAATCATGACCAAAAGCATGGAATCCACGTTCGTTTCTAAGTATAATGAAGAATAGCAATGTGAAAGCTATGGGTAAAACTTGCAGTGCTTTTTCCTTTTGAGTCAGATTTATAGTGAGTAACATTTGTTTTTAAGTGAATACTTTCATGTTCAGTTTGAAAGAAGTCTGGAGTATGTGGACGTGCTGTAGTTCTGGGTAATGTTAGTCGCTGCACTTCTTGGTCACGGTTAGTAACTACCATCGAGCAGGGCCCCCACCTGACATCAGCTCCCTGTCGACACCAGCCAGGGCATCTTGGAAGACTGTCGGCTTATCCTAGTGGTAGCACAGCATGTCAGGTTTTTATTTAAAAGAAAAAATTATTTTAAAAATTTTAAATTTTTTATAGACTTGTTTTAGTTCATTCGGTAGGGGTGTGTGTGTGTGTGTGAGTGAGAGTGTGTGTGTGTGTGTGTGTGTGTGTGTGTGAGTGTATGTATGAGTGTGTATTTGTGTGAGAAAGCATGTATGTATGTGTGTGGTGTGTGATTTAAAGGAAAAGAGGTAACAGAAAGATTTTGAGATTACTAGAGTTTTGATAATTTTTTCCAATTATAAGTGAAATGTAAAAACTTTTAATATCTCACAGATGAACTTGCCCAGTTCTTGGTGTGTGTTCATAATTTAGCTTATGATGAAAAGCCAGACTACCAAAAGCTCAAGAAAATTCTGAATCCAGATGGAGCACCTTTCGGGCCACTGGAATTTTCCGCTAAAGCACCAAGTGTCAGCGTGTGTACCCCCACCCATCAAAAGGTAAACATAACATAATCCCTGCGCGCTTGCCCTTGCGCACTGTGAAGGTGCCTCTCTGGAGACCGCTTACAGAAAGAGTGACTTGCTTCCTACATTATTCTTATTTCTGTTAACTCAGCACTAAGAAACCTGAAAGTTCCTCTCCCGAGTTGTCTGTTAGAATGGGATCTGTTCCTATTGTGTGTTGATAAAGAACGAAGCAATCTCTGATGGCTTTGTGCCCGGCTAGAGCAGAGCTAAAGGCCACTCCACCTTGACTTGGGAGAGCCTGTATGTGCTTCTCTAGGCTTTCTCTCACTACTATCCTGTGGTCTTGTCTTCAGTTTTACTATGATATGGAACTGGATAATATCCTTAGATATTATTGATACACATTTTACATGGTTTATAGAGTCAGTGTCTTAGCAAAGTTGTTGTTGTGATTATTATTTCCTTTTTGTGCTCTCTTTGAGCAAATGCCTTCACATTAACTTATAAAAATTAATACTTAAAACAAAGCAAAGAATTATAAAGTCAAAGGATTTTCAGAAGAGGATGCTAGAAACCTGAGTCTGTGATTACCAACTATTACATAGACAAGGAAATAACTTCTTCACTTGAAGCTATCCATAGTACATACATATGTACATACAAACACACACATGTATGTCTGTGGAAGTCATTCTTACCTGATAGAGGTACACTTTAGGGCTAGAATGTCATCCTCCTAACTTTTCCTATGAACTTTGGATCATCACAAGTGCTTGTGAGCCAAGAGTGCAGGATGCAGGCTACTGTGGCTGCTCGATGGATGGTGAGTCAAGTCTCCGTGCACAGATGGTTCTCATTTGCTGAATTTCGTAGCTGCTGCAACTGAAGACATAAAATATCCTTCTAGTCATAAATTAGCTCTTTGGAAGCAAAACCTTGGCACCAGAGCTTTACAACCTTCAATTAGTAGGAAAAGAAGTATTTGAATGACTGTGGTATTGACATCTGCAGGCCTGCATAGTAATCATTCCTAATAGAAGAGAATATCTGTTTGAGGAGGGTTTGCATGGCTAATTAACTACCAGTGAGAATATGTAATTTTTTCATGATCCCCTGATTGTCACCTTTCTCTCGTGATACAATTACATTTTATTGTAGCAAGTGCCTCACAAACCAATTGTCAGCACTGTTTACATATTGCAAAAGGCAGGACAAAAGCTCATGTTTAATGAAAAGCCACTGGATTTTGATCTTGGTAATTATGCAGACTTATTTTAACAGTTTTATTGACTTTTGTATTTTTATCACTTTTCCAACAAAACAAAGCACCATTTCCTTGACATAGTACCCCTTACAGTCATGGTCAGCACTTAATTCACACTAATTTAAGAAGATTTCATTCTTTTTTGTAGTTTTCAATTTCATAAGCATAACTGAGATATAAAAAAAGTGATTTAAGAATATTACATCTTCTGATAAGAAATTCTAATTATTATCTTCTCAAATGGTCAGTTCACTAAATCAAAGAACCCATTTATAAGCAGAAAATAATATGCAGTGTAGAACATTTTCCAATGAACTTTCGTCAAAAATATCTTATTCCTTTTGATTATACTGCTTTGATTATAAGTATCACTGCCTAAGAATAACAGGTAGCATCAGCATCTTAAGTTCTGTTATCAGTGTGATCAGCCTGGATATGGATATAGGAAGACATAGCTCACAGCATATAAATATTTAATTAATGACTTTATTTCTTTACTATTTTATGTGCACATATATCAAATATATCAAAAACATAGTTTGGGTAAATTGTATCTTAATTTTAATTTCTACAGCTTACAGGTTTCTATTAATGCTATAAAAATCAAACCTCTAAATGTTGAAGACATGCTGACATAACAGTCCTGTCCTCTGCTCCACTGAGTGAGGCACGCAGGATGGTGTCTGCAGCAGATGATTCCCTAACAGAAATATTTGAGTCAAGGACTGTCAGCCTTATACCTACAAATTTTCCCTTTCAAGTGCCAGCCTCTTTCAGTCACTCAGCACACCTTGTTACTATGCATGTGGGATTCTGCAGCTGTCCGACAGGGTAGTGAATGAATTATTATTACTTCTACCTTTTTTTGACAGATATTTAAAAATAAGTCATTGTACATGAAAAAGCATACATATACAAATAAACTTTCTACCATTTATTATTCAACAGGAAGAAGGTTCTGAATGTTTAATTTTTCAGCATATTATTTAATTTCAAAAATGAAATTTTTGAATTTAGCATTCTTAATAAAGTGCTTTTGACTTAGAAAGCAGTACACTATTAAGAATCTCAGTAGATTCATAGCATGAATTTGCAGAACAAAGTGAGGTATTACTAATAGATGTTTGATTGAGTGTGGTGTACCATTTACAGCAAATTGTGGGATTTCCTCAGGAGCTAAACTGGAAATTAATTTTTGTCAATATAGTGGAGATGCTGTTGATTTGTTTTAATTTTTGTTTTTCCTGAAAAGCAAACCCTTTCTTTTATTTTTTAAAAATTTTTTTTTATTAATTACAGTTTATTCACTTTGTATCCCAGCTGTAGCCTCCTCCCTCATCCCCTCCCAACCCCATCCTGCCTCCCTCATCTCCTCCCATGTCCCTCCCAAGTCCACTGATAGGGGAGATCCTCCTCCCCTTCCCTCTGACCCTAGCCTATCAGGTCTCATCAGGACTGGCTGAATTGTCTTCCTCTGTGGCCTGGTAAGACTGCTCCCCCATCAAGGGGAAATGATCAAAAGCCAGCTACTGAGTTCATGTTAGAGACAGTCCCTGTTTCCCTTACTAGGGAACTCACTTGGACACTGAGCTGCCACGGGCTACATCTGTGCAGGAGTTCTAGGTTATTTCCATTCATGGTCCTTGGTTGGAGTATCAGTCTCAGAAAAGACCCCGTGCCTAGAATCTTTTGATCTGTTGCTCTCCTTGTAGAGCTCCTGTCCTCCCCAGGTCTTACTATCTCCCCTCTCTTTCATATGATTCCCTGCACTCTGCCCAAAGTTTGGCTATGAGTCTCAGCATCTGCTTTGATACCTTGCTGGGTAGAGTCTTTCAGAGGCCCTCTGTGGTAGGCTCCTGTCCTGTTTCCTGTTTTTTCCCTCTTCTTATGTCCATCCCATTTGTCTTTCTGAGTGAGGATTGATCATCTTACCCAGGGTCCAAACCCTTTTTTTTCAAGACCACCCAGCAGCTCTGGAGGTGGCTTCTGTCACCAGGCTTGTTGGGTTACAAGGTTCCTCATCTAGATGGCCTTACAGCTGTTCCTGCCACTGGTGAAACATTCAGCTTTGTTCATTTGTTTTGTTTCATACTGTTTTGTGTTATGTTTGGATTCGGGCAAATACCATTGAGCTGTGTCCCTGGTCACCCTCTGCAATTTACTCTTTCAAATTCAGCATATAAAACAAGATCCCCCCAGTGCTTGCTGACGTCAGGTTCAGCTCCAGGATTCTCGGAGTGCAAACGTGATGAGAACTACGCTGTGCAGCCCTGCCACTTGTCCATACACCATTGTCTGTGCCTAAGGAGCAGAAATTGAAATGAGTTGCCTATTTCAAGGCAGAGAAGGAAAGCTGTGAATCAGAATGAAAGTTGGAGTTTCCCTCATTGCATACAGTAAAATGTGGTTCCCTTTTTCAGCTTGAACCTGAGGTCCACCATGTCAAGGGGGAATTTGTGTTGTTGGGGGACAAATCTTCATAAAGAAGCTTTAGCTCTCAAGATAATTTTATGAGCTTGTCTTCCTGCATATTTTATAGATGAGAGAAATAGAACTCAAATCCCTGTTTAGAAGACTTTTTATTATCAGTGTTTAGGAGTATAAATGTCTTCTGGTTTTATAGAACAGTATGAGGTTACATTGGAAAAATTAAGTAAAATACTATCTCATTTAAGTAGTGAGTTTCATTGAAAATGATATTTCTTTGTGTAGTTCCTCTTTAGATACTCTGAGATGCCAAAAGTGTTTTTTCTCATATTTTTTCATATTTCAGATTGCATGTTTTTCATATTTATCTTCATAGCTTTGTAAATAAGAAAGCTTCACTCTGTCCAAACTTAAGAATTTACTCATCCCATCTTACTCTTAGCACTATAAACTCATGTAGAAATACAACTTTTCCATCAAAAGGGAAGGAATTTTGCTTATTTGTCAAAGTGTCTATGCACTGCAGCACAAGCCTCTAGCCACTGACCAGATCCAGGGGCCACCGTCTCTCCCAGGAAGCCTGGGATGAAGCAGATTCTGCCCAGTCCTGTTCACATGTCAGACACTCCTGAGGAACACCTGGTACCTTCCATGCTTAGTACACAGGCGGGACTAACGAAAAGCCCTCATTTACTTCAACTAAGAACAGCCCATAGAAGCCCGCACTCCCAGTTCTGAACGTGTGGCCAGAAAAGTGAAATCTACCACAGAGACCTGTACATCTTATTATTCTAAAGTTAATTGTAGCAGGGGAATAAATATCCACCGATGAATGAATAAAGCAATGAAAAGGAAGAAAACGACATCCAGTTTTAAAAGAGAAAGAATTGCCCTCTTCCCTTTTATAGTAAGTAAAATATGCCCAAAATGTCAGGACAGACACCACATGTATAGAATCTAATTCAGCAAGATATTGGAGAGTAAAATGCTAAATACCAGAAGTTTGGAGTTGGGGAAAATGGGTAGATATTGGTTAAAGACACAAACATTTCAGTTACAAGATGAATGAATTATAGGCATCTATTATACAGTATGGCAGCTATACTTGCTAATATTGTCATGTGCTTAAAAGCTACTAAGAGACTAAATGTCATATTCTCCCCACACACATAGATGTGATAAATGCATGGACTCAATCATAGTATTTCACAATGTGCAAATGTCAAAACATCATAGCACACAACTTAAATACTCATTTGTTGCTTGTGTCTCAATAAAGATGGAAAAACTAATTCAGAGCATGTTTCACCATGACTGCTATGCCAGAGCTTCGGAGGGTGGAACAAGTCTGGGGACCATTATTTAACAGGAGTGAAATAAATAACCTGTATGTATTTCTTACCGAGCTGATGGTAGGGAGGGTGGCTCCTAGGTCCCATCAACCTTCCCAGTGGACTTAGAGGACTGGTGGGAAAACATTAAACTCCAAGTGATTGGGAAACATTTCCAACTTGCAGGTTAGTGAAAGGCAGTAGTTTTGCCATTCATTAAGATGCTGAGATCCGGGGGGAGGTGGGATAAAGGAGAGTGTTGTGACAACTAAGCCCCGCCTGCAGGGCACCAGCCTATTTCAAAGGGAAGGAATGAACACACTTGGCAATAGAAACTGGAAATTGAGAGACTACAAATTAAGGCTCTATTTGCCCAGCCAGCATAATTTATTCTCTATTTTGGCACTGGCTACTCCATTATTTCCCCTTCTGCTGTTCCTGTCTCCTGCTCTCCATTTAACCCGGGGGAAAAGGCGATGGCACTGTGAGCTGCTGTAAATGTGAAGCTGCTGAACAAACACTTCACTCAAGGACCTTTGTTGGCTTTAAGTCTTCCACCTGTGTTGTAGGATCTGCCCTCTATCCCTGTGTATACTTCAAGGTGCTTGAGAGTCAGTCATTCCCCAGATGTCACCACAGTGTGAAAAGGAAGCCGAAGAGATGGAGCTTGTCATGAAGTTAACCCTTGGTATTAGTACATGGGCCAAATGACAGGAGCTCGTCTTGCACAGAGGTTAAACTACCTGCACTCTATGTAAGCAACATCGCAAGCTCCTTGTATACTTTCACATTAATTAGCCTCTCTTCAACAATAGGAAAATAAGATCCTAATTAATAGAAATTTAAGCTGCAATGATAACTGGCTCCACTCACAGCAAAGGTTAATAATGAATTCACATGCAATTTGAAAAATGTGACAATGTTCCATAAAAAATACAATTTTCATTGTAAGCAAGTTTTTTCTAGAGATATTTTTAAAGCATGTGTAATAGTGACACTAATTTTAATTGGTCTTTTCCCATTGATGAAGAAGGGTCTGGATCTTGCTAGATATTGTATTTTTTTTCCACAATAGCCATTGTTGCTTTTGGTTTGCGTGTTTCTTTGTCAAGTCTATTGTTAGCCAGCTTAGGTTTTTAAAGAATCTGGATGTGAGTGAATTTTTAAAAAAGAAATGTCACAGTTTTCATTTCATTATATATTCTGACTCCATTTCAACAGGTTGATTCACCAAGGGTTACAACAAAACCAGCTAATGAGTTCTCAGGTAAGCCCACAGAAAAAGTCAGTGGAGAGACAAGTGCAGCTCGGAGAAAGGAGCATGAGGAGAGGCCAGCCAGAGCACCGAGGAGCACAGCAGCAGTGCAGGTGAGAGCCGGGTGCTGGGTTATTGACTCCTTAGCATAAACACTTTGACATACTGCCTGCACCTAAGGCCAAGTTTATATGATTTTTGTCAAATGAGGACAAAAAATACCCTGTCCACCCAGTAAAATCAAAGCAGCCTACAGCATTTGTTACAGGAACAGAAGCAAACACACATATGTATTAGATTCACCACACACACACAGAATGTAATGAAACACCTGGATTCTTTCACTGTCTACAGTCCATCAACAAGCCTTCTCCTGCACATTCTGCACTTTATCTATTCCTCTACTCTAACCCTTACCATCACCCGGAAGGGTATTATCTGCCTGTCAGTGGGCTGTTTGCAATCGTTTGGAGGGAGACTGACTTGTCCTTTACAGATGACTCATGCAGACAACAGCAAAAGGCTTCCCTAAGCCTACATCCTATAATGTGAAAGCAAAGCATATAAAATTTATCTGGAGCGAAAAGTAAAGTTTAATTATGTCAGAATAGCCAGCATTTCATTTGATTTGTGCACCATCATTCTCACATGGTTTGAAGCAGTTCACAGTGTGAAACAGGATAATTTAATACCCCCACCTTTCTCACCCTCTACCCAAGAAAAATTGATATATGGGGCAGCTGGGATGTTAATCACTAAACTGAGCACTGAATTTGGCTCTGAACTTCTTGGCAGCTGAGTCAAAAATTAGAAGTAGAGTTATGCATTTCTCATCCAACCAGCAAACAAGTTTATCCAGAGAGAAATGTTTCTGTTAGTGCTCAAAGGAACCTTTTACATTTATTCAGTATGAAATAGCATTATTTGTGGTATTATTTTAAACTTACATACAGAAATGTATTTCACATGAGCATATTTTATAATCCCACTTGTAAAGTTAAATAGTGCTTGCTGACAAAATCAGAAATTCTAAGTTTTTAGTGTGTACTGGAATCTTCTGTCTCATAATGCATGGGGGTCCTGTGAAAATAGAGACCCAGGTTTCAAGTGAAGAGATACATTGGCATTGGCTGGCCTGGCAATGGGATGTATGCACAGATGTCCTCACTCCAGCAGCCCTTTCTTTCGCCCAGTCTTCTGACCATAGTTCCGATTCTCATCTCTAGATTAGGTTTGCCTCTTAAATTTCATGACCACATAGGAATTACTTTATGTCTACTCCTTTCATTTAGCACCTTTTAAGATTTCTCTGTATTCATCAATATACCAAAAATTCCTTGTCATTTTGCAACTCATGAGTCCATTTTCCTTCTATTGAACACATGAGTTACTGCTGGTTTAATATATTTAGAGAAAATGTTGTATTAATTCTGCCCAGAGTCTGCTATGGACACTGCATTTCTTCTGAGACATGGAATTACCAGATCATTGGGCAAATAAACGTATGTTCAATTATAAAATGTTGGCACATAAGCAGGCCAGATGGCTTACCAATAAAGACACTTGCCATGGACCACCTGGGTTTGATCCCAGTGATCCACATGTTGAAAAGAAACAACTGACTCCAACAAGCTGCCCTCTGAACTCATTACAGGGGCCATGACATGAACACAGCTTCCTAGTCCAACAAATAAATAAGTGTGAAATGTTGGCAACTACTTGTGGAAAGTGGCTGTACCTTTTGTGTGTGCAAGTGTTGTGGTCATTCCTACACTTCCTCTCCAACATTTGGTGCTGCCAGTCTTTTGTATTTAACTACTTACACGTGTGTATTAGTATCAATTTCTGGGTACAGCTATTTCTGTGGCAACTAATAGCACTGTGGTTACTGGCCATGTATGTATCTTCCGTGGAGTGTCTTTCAAGTGCTGGCATTTACAGTTTGCATGTGAGTTATGGAAATCCTTTACATCGTCTACACACAAGATCCTTGTCATGTTTCCGTAATATGGCTAGCACCTACCTACTCACTTCCTTAATACTGTTCATTCATAGTTGTATTCTGACTCCCAGTCTTGTATGTGGCATGAGGTGGAGTTGAGGTCCACTTGTCTTACCACAGCATCTTCTTGGAATGGTGTTTTCCTTTTCCTAACTGAACTCCTTTGGATGCTTCTTTAGAAATCAGGTAAGTGTGTCAGCAGGACTACTGAACTGTCTTCCTCCATTGTTTATCTTTCCTTACAGCAGCACGGTACACATACCACTGTAACTTTACAGCACACCCTAAATTAGCAGTGCCACACGTTCAGTCTCCTTTAGAACTGTGGAGCTTAATCATTAAGCCGTGCTCCCTCCATAAGATTTTGTTTTAATAATTTTTTCTATATAATATATTCTGATCATGGTTTTCCTTCATCTTCTTCCAACCTCTCACCCTTTCATCTCCACACTTTTCTGTCTTTTCCTAGAAAACAAACTGACAAAAATAACAAAAAAAAAAAAAACAAAATAAAACAAAACAGAAAAAAAGCATAAGAAACATGCACACATGCAAAGACAAGCACACATACATATTCAGAAATCATAACATATAAGAAAAAAATCCCACACGAAAACCAACCAACAAACAAACAAAGCATTAGGAGACAAAACCTCTCCAAAAACAGCATTGTGTTCAGTCTGTGTTGGCCAGCTACTGCTGGGCATGGCGCTTTCTCTTAAGTGCAGCTTATATACCCAGCTGTTTTTCCTTTGCGAGCAGTTACCAGCTGCAGATAGCTTCTGCGTTAGAGTCGGAGGCTCACATCCACTTACTGTCTCAGTGCCGGACCCCATCTGGTTTGAACCTGTGCAGGTCCTGTTCATGCTGCTTATCTTTGAGTTCATAGGTGCATCAGTCCTGTTGTTTAGTTGGAGCCCTCCACCCCCACTGGCTCTCACAATCTTTCTGACTCTCTTCCATTGTTCCCTGAGGGGAGGGACTTGAAGACATCTCACTTAGGACTGAGTTTTCCAAGTTCTCTGACTGCCCTTGACTAGTTGTGGGTCTCTATTTTAGCGCTCATCTACTGCAGGAACAAGGTTCTTTGTTGATGGCTGAGCAAGTGGTTAGGAGTCATTTTATTATTATGTTCCATTAGCCAAGTAGTATTTGGTTTTTCACTAGGTCTCTGGGCTATCTAGTTTCATGTTCTTGGCCACCCAAGCAGTATCAGGCATGGTTTCCATTTCATGTAGTGGGCCTAAATCTAATCAGAGTGGTTAGTTACCCTCACAAATTTTGTGTCATTATTGCACCAGCTAATCATAAAAACATGTCACCATTGTAGGCCTCAGGGTTTATAGCTAGGTTGGTGTTTACCCACCCTCTGCTAGCATGTAGAGTACCTTTCAGTATCATGAACAGTAGTTGTCTACAGCATAATCTTTAACTGCAGACTTTCCGAAGTCAAGGCAACTTTCTTGTATATTCCTTGTTAGTTTGAAATACTTTTTTTTTAATGACAACCAGCAACTCAAATTTGAAATGTTAATACTTAGAAAAGGTTAATGTCATAAAATGAACTAATGTGAACAAGACATATTCGAAATAAATTTTAGTATTTTTCAGAATATTTTATTTTTAAAAAATTTTTTACAATTTGTTTTATGTCCCCCCTCCTTCATCTCCTCCCAGCCCTACTCTCCCTTCCTTTTCCCCCATCTCTTTCCCATCCTCCATCTCTCTCCCCCCCTATCCATTTTCCTAGTCCACTGAAAAAGGGAGTCTTCCTCCCCTGCATCCTGTCCTAGTTTATCAAGTCTCATCAGGATTGCCTGGATCCTCTTCGTCTGTGGCCTGGTAAGGCCGCATCATCAGGATGGCATGATCAAAGAGCAGGGAAACCAAGTTCATGTCAGAGTCAGCCCCTGCTCCCCTTACTTGGGAACCCACATGGAGATTCAGCTGCCTATTGGCTACATCTGCTCAGGAGGTCTAGGTCCTCTCCATTCATGGCCCTTGGTTGGTGTAACAGTCTCTGCAGGACCCCCCACTCCCCAGGCTCAGATTTGTTGGCTTTGTTGACCTCCTTGTGGAGCTCCTGTTCCCTCCATGGCTTTTTATCTCCCCCTCTTCCATAAGATTCCCTGCACTCTGCCCAAAGTTTGGCTGTGAGCCTAAACATCTGCTTTGATCCCCTGTTGGGTATATGGTACGTTCCCGTCCTATTCCCTCTCTTCTACCACTTCTGGTGTCTATCCTGTTTGCTATTATGGATGAGATTTAATTTAAGCATCTTCCCTAGGGTCCTCCTTATTGTTTAGCTTCTCTAGGACTATAGATTTTAGTATGTTTATCCTATATTATATGGCTAATATCTGCTTAAAATGAGCATATACCATGCATGTCTTTCTGGTTCTGGGTTACCTCACTCAGGATGATCTTTTTCTATTGCTATCCATTTGCCTACAAATTTCATGATTTCCCTGTTTTTTAATTGCTGAGTAGTATTCTATTGTGTAGATGTACCATACTCTCTGTATCCATTCTTCTGTTGAGGGACATCTAGGTTGTTTACATATTATGGCTATTACGAATAAAGCTGCTATGAACATAGCTGAGCAAATGTTCTTGTTGAATGGTGGAGCATCTTTCAGGTATACGCCCAGGAGTGACCCAGGAGCTTTCTCAGAAAGCGCCAGATTGATTTCCAAAGTGCTTTAAGTTTGCACTCCCATGAGCAATGGAGGAGGGTTTCCCTTTCTCCACATCCTCTCCAGCATGTGTTGTCACTTGAGTTTTTGATCTTAGCTATTCTGATGGGTATAAGACTGTCAGAGTCATTTTTATTTGCATTTCCTTAATGACTAAGGATGGTGAGCATTTAAGTGTTTCTCTGCCATTCGATGTTCCTCTGTTGAGAATTTTCTGTTTAGCTCAACAAATGGTGCTGCTCTAACTGAAGTCCATATGTAGAAAAATACAAATAGACCCCTATCTATCACCCTGAACTAAAGTAAAGTCCAAGTGGATCAAAGACCTCAACATAAAAACAGACACACTAAATCTGTTAGAAGAAAAAGTAGGGAAGACCCTTGAACCTAACTGGCACAGGAGACAACTTCCTGAACAGAACACCAGCAGCTCAGGCTCTAATTTCAACAATCAATACATGGGACCTCATGAAACTGAAAAGCTTCTGTAAAGCAAAGGACACTGTTAACAGAACAAGACGACAGCCTACAGACTGGGAAAGGATCTTCATCAGCTCTATATCTGACAGAGGGCTAATATTCAGAATATATAAAGAACTCAAGAAATCAGACACCAACAAACCAAACAATCCAATTAAAAAAAGGGTACAAACCTAAACAGTTTGAAGTACTCTTAAAGTCGCTTTATATACATTTGCCCACTTTTTTTATTGTTTTGTATTTATTTCATCAGTAAGAGATAGTTTGCTACCCACTGTGCATGGCCTGAATAGAAGTGGCATTGGTATTTTCTAAGGCTCTCTAGTGATTATGCTACATTCAAGATTAATAACATCCAAAAGGTGGTCTTCTGGAAGCAGGACTGTTGTTATTTAGCACTGAGCTATTTGCCTTAGCACAAGTTTCTGTGTGTTGTAGGATGTTTGGCAGCATTCCTGTTATATGCCCCTTAGGTGCTAATAGTGCTTCCTCCTAGCTGTGACAACCCAAATATTTTTAGAAACTGTTCCCCTATGAGTTAACGTCTCTACGTTGAGAGCCAGTATACTACAGATAGATTACTGTATTCCTAAGCCCTTGCTACTCACTTACACCACTGTGCCAGTGTTACCCAGTGTGGGGTTAATACACCCCAAATACACACATACATCCCAACCAGAGAGAGAGCTGCACTTTAACATGGCTATCTGTGTGCCTTCTGTCTGGTCTGATGTGAGAGATCTCCTATTGCCTTTAATGTTGGAATACGTGGTCCAGTTGATGGCATTTTGGGAAGGCTGTGGATAGTTGAGGAGGTAGAGTCTTGCTGGAGGAAGTCAAGAAAGACTGACTTCTTACAGCTCACCTGACATTCTGTTCACCTTTTGCTTCCTTTTCTGGATGACATATCACCTCCAGGATTCGGTTCCTGTAAACTATGCCTTCTCTGCCTGCTTCCATGGCCCTTTCCATCTGGAACTGTCACAGCAATGAGAACATAATCAATAGACCTTCTCATTTATGAAAAACAATCTCTTATGCAGAGACCAGCAAACTTCTTTGCAGTGCCAAAGATCAATTCAGGACCTGGCATATATTAAACAAACACTTTACCATGGAGTTACACTCCAGCCCAGCAACATTTTTCTTACGTGTCTAGATTGAAAATATTTTTGGTCTTATAACCCATAGTTTTTGCCAGAACTATTCAACTATACTGTTTTGGTGTAAAACAAACCATAGATAAAACATAAACAAGTGGATATGGCTGTGTCCCAATTAAACTTTTCACAAAACATGCAACTCTTTAGAAAATGTGTAAGCATGTATTGTAGCCTGCCTTTCCCAACCAGTATAGAGATCATCTTCCTGTGATTCATCAGTTGTTGCTGAGACATTGTAAAAGTCACAGAAGGTCCTCGTAAAATTCGAGTAGTGTGATTTCTGTTCCTGATGAGGCACACAGACAACTTTCCAATGGTTCTTGGCCTTTGGAAATTTATTTGAAAATGGATTTCTTTGCCTTTAAGTAAGAAAGATTTGGTACCATGGAGAAAAAAAAAAGTCAATTATTTTCTTTTAATGACTAAGACAGTCAGTAATGTTATTTCCATCTGAGTCTCAAACAATAATCTATTTATATTTAATAAGAAAATATGTTTCCTAAATGTACCTTTTGTTTGGTTTTTGTTTTTGCTTGGGTTTTACATTGTTTGAGTAAGGATCTCCCTGTGTAGCCCCGGCTGACCTGGAACTTGTTATTTAGAGCAGGCTGGCCTTGATCTCAGAAATATTCGCAGGGATTACAGGCATGAACACTATGCCTAGACAACACACAGCTAATGTAGGGATCCTTTCTGACCTTTGAAAATGGCTGTTTCGGGGGAGGGGTTGAAGAAGGACTGCTTAAAGAGTGGAAGTTCTGAGGGTGTACTATGGTGGATGAGGCTAAGAGTTAAGAAGATAGATGTTTGTCTGCTTTCTTTAAAATGAAGCTGGCTTTTTCTAAATTACTCAGTAGCTGATAGAAGGAGAGGGTGTGCCAGAGGTCACCAAGCTAATGCAGAAGAAGCAGCCCTTGGAGCTCCTTGAGTAGCAATCAACAGTAGTTCAACTGTGCCTGTTTCAGGGCACAGGAAACACGTCCACCGGCTAGAGCATTGCACAGCCATGTCCTTGCAAACACTCTGCATTGTCGTGATGGGCCAAATGTCAGCAAGTTATTTTAATGACCAGACTCGCCTGCTGTGTTTTTTGGGTTTTTTAGCACTGTTACAGAGTACACAGAAAATGCCTAGATAACTCAGATCTAACAAAATATTTCTTTCATAGGAAAACTCTAGAAGAGGAAACATTTATGAGTACTCCGATCTTCTGAGTGACATGCACAGTCTTCGACAGACATCCAGCTATATGAGTTCCCAAAGGCCATACTACAAGCCCTATACGCCCAATCTGGACTGTACCAGTAGAGATCCAGTCAGGAAGCCAAGATCCGCATCTTGGCACAGATACACTTCCACAGGTGACATGGGAGTCACAGACCTGGAAAGTCCTTCGAGACTTTGGCCGTCAGTTTTTCAGCTGACTCTGAGTGAAGAGACAAAGGCTGACGTGTATTACTATGGACTCACTATATTCTGCCTGCTGACATTAGTATGTCTTGCTTTGTATTTTCTCTGAAGTCATCAAATAAATTGGTTTTTTTTTTGTTTTTTAACAATTTTTCAGGATTCCATCTCTTCATGGTGTGTTTCAGTCTTTCTTTACAGCTTTCTTCCAGACATTTTCAAGGTAATCGGCTTTTAAAAAGAAAGAGAGAGAGAGAATATATTTTAAGAAAACTTTGGGCACACACTTAAAAATTAAAATATTTCCCTGATGGCTAATGAGGTTGAGTATTTTTTTAAGTGTTTCTCTGCCATTCGATATTCCTCTATTGAGAATTCTCTGTTTAGCTCTGTACTCCATTTTTTAATTGGATTACTTGATTTTTTGCTGTTTAACTTCTTTATTTCTTTATATATACTGGATATTAGTCCTCTGTCAGATATAGGGTTGGTGAAGATCCTTTCCCAATCTATAGGCTGTCTTTTTGTTCTGACAACAGAGTCCTTTGCTTTACAGAAGCTTTTCAGTTTCATGAGGTCCCATTTATTGATTGTTGCTCTTAGAGCCTGTGCTGTTGTTGTTGAAGAAGGACTATGCATGGAGATAACCTAAGACCCCTGCACAGATGTAGCCCACGGCAGTTCAGTATCCAAGTGGGTTCCGTTGTAATAGGAACAGGGACTGTCTCTGACATGAACTGATTGGCCTGCTCTTTAATTACCTCCCCCTGAGGGTGAAGCAGCATTACCAGGCCACAGAAGAAGACAATGCAGCCACTCCTGATGAGACCTAATTGACTAGGATCAGAAGGAAGGAAAAGAAGTCCTCCCCTACCAGTGGACTTAGAGAGGGGGCATGCACACAGAGGGTGAAAGAAGGAAGGGATTGGGACGGGAGGAGGGAGGGAACCACATGGGGGGATACAAAATGAATAAAGTGTAATTAATAAAGAATTTTAAAAATGCTAGAAAAAAAATTAAAATATTTTTAAAGGATATAAGTCTTTTTGACCAAAGATACTTTGAAAATTAAAGTATGTTTAGGGATAGTATGTCTCACAGGAAACTACCGTAGTTTGATGAAATGGAGAACAGCACATTTTAAAACCTTCCAGCAACCTAATGTACTACATACCCACTGTCTGTAACGCATGCCCCAGAGCCAGGCCCACGTTACAAAAGGAGACCGACATGGCTTACCTTACTGCAGTAGGGACATTCACCAAATAAGACGTTAAAGCTCTGTCTGCTGGTGCTCAGCCCTCTCAGCCACTGCACAGAAACAAGTGCAGAACAGTGTCAGTGCTCACACACCATCCCAGACTGACACATTTTGTTTTCTTAAAGGAAAACCTTTTCTGAGCTCATGTCCAGTTACTATCATATTAATAATTAGGAAGTCAGTATTAAAATTTGGAATATACACTTTTGGTGTAGGAGCAGAATGTGGGCCCTTTAAGAGTTGGCTGACTAACATAACTGTTGTCTGGGAGGCTCCACCCAGCAGCAGATGGAGACAGATGCTGGGACTTGTAGTCAAGTATCAGGAAGAGCTCTGGGACCTTGTTGAAGTGTTGTGGGAAAGATGGAAGGACCTGGAGGGGACAGGAACCCCACAAGAAGACCAACAGTGACAACTAACCCTGACCCACAGGGGCTTACAGAAACTGAGACATCAACTAAGGAGCATGCATGGTCTGGACCTATGGTCCCTGCCCATATGTGGCTGATGGGCAGCTTGGTCTTCATGTGGTCACCTGGAGTGGGGCCGGGGCTGTTTCCAACATGGACTCTATTTCCTGTTTTTGGATCAATTCCCCCTGTCAGAGCTGCCTTGCCTGTCCTCAGGGGACGAGGACATACTCAGTCCTGATGTGACTTGTTGTGCTGGGGAAGGTTGATACAGAGGAAAGGGCCTCCCCTTTTCTGGGAGAAAAGGGAGAGAGGAAGGGGGAAGGAAAGAATAGGAACTGGGAAGAGAGGAGGGAGGGGCACTCTTGGCATGTAAACTAAGTAAGCTTAAATAAAATAAAAATTAAAAAAAGAAAAAAAACCTCACTTTACACGTGGAAGAAAAAAAAGGCTTGGCTGAAAATTACACATTTTACATGCAAAAGAGACCCATGCACGTTCCTGTGGTTCACACACCTAAACCAATTAATCACAATTTCTTTGTAAAAGTTATCTTAGGATTTTGAGTTTCTGATCTTAATTCAACAGTGGGTAAAGTTTCACTGTGCTGACTATAAGTATGAAGCAATCAGTCTTAAAAAATAAAATAAATGAAGCTGGGCAGGGTGGCACACATATGTGAGGCAGTTGAGACCAGCCTCGTCTACAAAGCAAGTCCAGGACAGCCAAGGCTACACTGAGAAACCCTATCTTGAAATTTTTTTTAAATAAATATTCACTATTGGAAAAAAAAAAAAAAAAAAAAGACAGATTCCACTGGAATTTCCCAAGTGGCCCTGGTATTGTTAGGATTGTCTAAAGTAAAAGACTGTCCCTCAGTTTCCTATTAAGAGTGAAGAGCACCAACTCTATCTTAAAAAAGAAAGACTGAAAATTTATGGCATTTTTCCACTGTAAGATGATTTACACAGAGACAGTTAATTGTATGAGTGTGCCCCAACAGGAATGATACGGGAATTAATGGCCTGAGAAATGAAGGCACAATTCATGTAGAAAAGGGATGCCCAGGTCACAGAAACATTTTAGTATTTAAAAGAGAATTCTTGTATTTGTTCCGTCCATACAGGAAGCTGCAGAGTAGAATGTACAACCTGTTGGCCAATCGCCTACTCCATTCCCTCCATCACCCTAGACTGGCAGATCCAGACAGTCCACATAGTGGGTGCAGACGGTTGGGAAGGTCTCTGTTGTACCCGCCACCCATCTCTTAGGTGTCAGCACACTAGTCACGAGTGCATTCTACATTGTCTTTCTCCCTGAGGTCCTCAGGCACAGTCATATCCAAGATAAAGAAGTGAAGCCTGCGAATTTTAACTAGTAAGTTCAAATTAACTAGTTAGGTTAACTAGTAAAGTAATGTAAATTAACTAGTAAGCGGAGTTTTGACAAAAGAAAGAATACTTTAGTAAAGAGATTTTAGACTCTGTACTTCATATGGAGATGATTCTAGTTTTACCTCGTATAAGCATATTTGATGGAAAGGCTGTCCACACTGGGGATTATCACACACTTGATCAGGAATGGCACCATTGAGGTGACGGGAGTAACAGATTCCACAGTCCATGCTAAAGTCCTAAAGAAAAAAAAGGTGTTAGTGTTTAGTGTGAATACGGTAAAATTAGGAGGGATGAGTATGATATACACAATACTTGTTTTTATATATGTATCTTATTAAGTATGTTTCTGTAATTTGGAACATATAAGCAGGTTAGAACACCTAGTCACTTGCACTCAAATATACACAGATTTCATTTTTACTTGCAAGAATTTTGTGTTTTAGCAATTTTTCCATACACATAATTGTGCCTGTATATACACAAAGACACATCTGACATCAGCTAGTGAACACCAAATCGCACAAATCTGCAGCAAAGGGACAAAGATAATCATCACCATCATTTCGTGTTAACAGCAGAAGCTCAGTCCAAAGTCAACCCCGCCTCTGTTATCTTCACAGTATCAATGGTGCTGCTCACTTCTGGAAAACTACTGCTGTCCTTCACAAACTTAGAGCAGACCAATTAAAACTGTACTGTAGCCATCCATAAGCGGACAGGACAAAAACCCAAACATCTCATTAGTGTCCCTGATTTCTTTGTAGTTTTACTAAGTGAATCCCGTCATTAACCAATTCACGCTGAAGCTCCTGAGCAGAGCACGATAACCACCCAGCTAGCACAGTTCAGCAAGTTCACCCGTACAGATGTTACTTGGAACCAAGAGCCCTGCTAAGACGTTCTTCCAATGTCTTTTCTTTTCAAAGACAAGCATTTAAATTTTATTATCTACAGAGTGAAGACTATTCAAGCACTGATTAGACTTACAGATTCTTCCAAGACAGTACGAGCTGGAAAATCAATTTCTAAAACATCTTTCAAATTTTGTAACAGACTACTTTCTGGATCCCTAAAAACAAAACAAAACAAAAATCCCTATAAAGTTTGTTAACAGTTAAGCTATAGAACAGTACCAACTATATTGCCAAGGTACCTACCATAAATGTATGTTTCCACTCAGCTTGATTCCTAGGGGTTTTATCACTTTGGATATTAAGAAGAGGAAAAAAAGGTTTAAAAATTGGCTTTGTTGCTCTTACTGTTACCGTATTTGTTTAGCTATTTGGCTTAAAATCTAAATGATCTAGTTTGTTTAAAACGTATACAGTTCAAAAAGAGAAATGTATCTAAAATACTTCTAACAGTAATAGTTTGGAATATTCAACAACATTAGACAGGATTTTATGAATATGTTCCAGATCCTTAACCTTAGGATTTCATACCATGGTCAGCTCCAAGAAAGCAAAACTCGGGAAGCATGGTCGGATGCCTGGGGTCTACCTCTATGTTTATGGAAACATTATTCCCTGAAATGAAAGCAGAAAGATTTTTAGATGTGGGCAGCTTGTCAACTAAGCAAATACAAACTCAAAGCATGCTGATCCAGACACCTATTTTATTCTCAGGAAGAACTCGCCATTTCTTTTTTAAGTTTTGTATAGATGTAAGTTATTAGTGTTGGTACTGAGAAGTATTGTTGAAATTATGTCGTCATTAAAGATCCAGGATCATAAGCTTCAAAAGACAAGACTAAAAGTTATATGAGTAAGTTAAATTGGTACTCTGGTAATTATGTTCCAGTAAAGTCTAATAAAAATTTTCAGTGGACTGTAAAAGTCTTTAATATTTAAAAAATCATATATTTAAGCAATGTATATTACTTTTTATAACTTTCTTTACAAACTTAGTATTTTGTATAATTAGGGTCAAACGAGTAGCTGATAAAAAGGATATGCCTGGTATGCCTATTTTATATAAAAATACTTACATAGAAACTCTTTGTCCTTTATGAAAGTTAACAAATGTTTAGTTCAAATTAAATAGACTTTTATCTTAGGTAATACCTAAATAACCATTTCTGAAGCTAAGAAAGATGACTCTGCTCAGCACTAGATTCTTTTACAAGTCTCAGCTGTACTGAATACATACAAATTGCTCCCTACTAGTTGGTGAAGTTATGTAATATAGTTAAGATCAGTTTCAACTCACCTTTATAACAAAGTGATATGATAAATTATATAAGCTTTTTTGCTAAAGTTGGCAATAGAAATTTAAACAAATCTGGTAAAAAAAAAAATGGTCAAAGTAAAAAAAGATGTATGTGGTAGAGCCATTCAATGAGAAAAAAATAACCTGTCAACGCAGCACACACTTTTCATTAGGCCTGAGCAATGCTGTCTACCACAGACCAAAGAGTGCTCTCACTTAGGCAATGGCTAGAGAAACACAAAGGTTGGCCCCAAGACAACAAATCGTTGGCTGAAGCTGGAAGAAGACATAAAAGTAGATACAGAACACTGACGACAACTTGGCTGTTGAAGCTGAACTATAAGAAACCTAATTGACATGTTTCAAGAATAATTATTTTAATGGGGCCATAATGATAACAAATCATCACATTTCTAAAGACATGTTTTCAGTCTTAGCATCTACTTGTTGACAAATACACTATAACTGGATAATTGCTCCAAATTACGTCCTAACAGACGTTCCTACACCGGAAGGTGATGGGTTGCCAGGGAAGTGCTGCGGGTGTGAGTCTCCCAGCCCCACCCCCTCGGTGCTGTGTGGGGGTAGAGAGGCTAAGCTGTTGGAAGACTTCACAGGTTTGCTTTGTTTGCCATGAGGAAGAGAACACCCTGGCAGAGACTACAGCAGGACAGGAGCCCTGCACCTATGCTCCTGCTCTTCAGCTGTGTCTACTCATCAGAAAGATGCCCATCCTGTTTTCTCCCCGTGGTACGACCCAATTCAGTGTCTTTCTCTCTGTTTTCTGACAAAAAGTATTGCCAGATCTAAGCTTCTGCAAAGGAAAGACTTCATTTTTTCTAGCACAGGCTTCTGTTCTAAGTACCATTCACTTTGAGTTGCCTGTCCCACAGTTTCTGTGCCAGTTAATGCTAATTTAATACTACCTGAATGTGGCCTCCACTGGATCATCACCTTTCAGGACGAAACACCTCATCACTTGCCCTTTCCATCTAAAACATTTACATTTAACCATGTAGTAATAAAAGTCGGGTTTTATTCCTAAGAGTTTCAATAGCTGAATCCATACAAAGAAATTTCACCTAAGATTTTACTTGCTGTTTTCAAACTTGTTTTTGCAAATAATAGAATATAAAATCAGACACCAGAAGACATTTCCATCTTCCTTCCCTACCCAATGCAATCCTGCGTGCTGTCGCACTCCGGGGAGGTTTTTCTGGTTCCAGCACCCAGGTCTTCTCATCAATTTCATCCATAACATCCCAAAATGCCTTCAGCATCTCCAATGCCGCCAAGAACTGACTGTAAATATTTACCAAGGAGCTCTGTGGACAGACAGAAGCTGTGAAGTTAACCTGGTTTACCAGCAGCAAATCACTTTCCACTTAAAACAGTCCACTTGGGCCTTGGAAGGTTTCCCTTTCCACAGAATGTGGACTCTGACCGACAGTGCCCCCACCACACTTACATTAGCACAATCTTTGTCTCTAGTCTACACATTATCAAGAATGGTGAGACCATGCCGTGCATGTTAGCATATGAGCAGAGATCACATAAAGTGATAACTATATACGAATAAACTTACTGATGTAATATTATCTAATGCATTGAACACACATCTATACATTTACTACAAATTATTCTTTTGCTACGAAATGAAATTAAACACAGTGGTATTCATTATTGGACTAGATTAACTGTAAGCATTGGCAAATTAAGAAGCTTTGTAGACCTAATTAGAACAAAAGTATGAAAATGTGTTTCTTTGGTTGTTGTTGTTTGTTTTTTGTTGTGCTGTGAATTAAACCAAATATGAAGTCCATGCGAATGCTAAGCAAGTGCTCTGGTGCTTAACCAGAGCTTAACTTTATCTCCAACCAAGCTTTGCATTATTTTTTTAAGGATTCAAAATGAAATACAGTTTTTACAATTTGATTTTTAGTCAACCTCTGAATTCGATTTAACATTAACCTTTATGAGAATTAGATTAAATAAATTTCACTAAGCCACAATTAATTTTAAAATATAACATATTTTTCCTTTTAGTAAAGGAAAGCATTTCTCCTAAAATATTGTGATGTATTTAAAAGACAACTATTTGCTGAAAGTTTTTGTACAGCAGTTTAAGAAGAATTGTACTTCACTGATTCAAGTAACCTAGATATAAACCAAATCCACAGTAAGTGACAGAGGAAGCTGCGTGACCTTCAAATGCTGCAGAGTAGTGCTTGCTCACAGGTGTCACCCCAGAACCTGCATTAGGCCTGTAGCATCCAATGAACTGTTGACTCTTTTGGTAGAAATGGTTTCACATCTTCTAAACTACCGAACTTCAAGGGTGAGGCTGAGTGTAAGAATGGGAACCAAACCTTTATGTCTGAAAATAACCATTTAGAACACTAAACGGAGAATTCCTTTTTTACGGTATGCCACACTTAAGGTGCAAATAAAAGTAACAAAATAAAATAAGTAAACCGTTACACAGCGGGTCCTAAAAGCAGCACACCAGGACCTTGTTCCATCTGTATCTATACCTGTGTATTTAACATCTATAAAATTTACCTTTTACCTGATGTTTAAATCTTATTCCTAAAGAAATAACAAAGCCATTTCATGGCAGCATCTTTTATTTGAAACACACTGGCCGTTTCTCCTACATACAGAAATCCTAACTGCATTCTGAATAATATATTCTTTTAAAATAAGAAAATAGTAATTTAAGAGAAAACCAAACAACATAAATAATCTTCAAACTAGATGTAGGTGGCAGAAAAGGAAACCTTAATGTAACAGCCATTATTAGACTTTCCTAGAAAGACTTTCAGAGTAGATGCACATTCCAGGTAAAGAAGGAAAAGCCGTAGGTTAGCAACCTCAGGGGTGTAGGAGATGGGAAGGAAATGATCTCATCAAAAGCCAGAAAACAGAGTCTTGATTGTTTAATTTCATTGTCAAATCACATACAAACCCCTAGTTTAAAACTATCCAATTAAAATACTAAGTTATTATTATATGTTAGCAATAATACAGATATGTCAAAAAAATAGTGTGGCCAAAGTTAAAGTTGAAAGCCATTATTACCAGGAAAGAAGGTCTCTAAGATGCCACTTTGTAATGTGATAAGTGTAAATCTCACCAAAACTATTGATATAGCTGATATATTGATATTTTGATAGTCTCTCTATCAACTTGAAATGTGCAATATAAAATGAAAACTCAAGAAAAAAACAAGTGTGAGCACTTTAGTAAGAGTCGTAGCTGTAGCTCTTACTAAACATCATATATCAACTCAAACTTACGGGCTGAGGGTTATTGTATGAAAGTCACCCCTCTTTGAAGAGATCTGGGTATTTCATTTATTTACAACTAAACACCGTCCTACCTTATGATCTCGCAATTCCACTCCAAAAGAAGTGAAAAGGCAAGTACACGATAACACATTTACAAACATGGTTTGTGCAGCCATGTTCACAAAACCCCAAACATGTAAAAGTCCACATGCCCTGCCAAAGAAAACTAATAGGAACAAATTCTTAACCTTAACCATCACATATATGAATTCAAAACTATACTGGGAGCACTACCCCTATATACAAAAGAGCATGTATTATGTGTCTATTTAGATGACATTTAAATAAAGCTCAATTAAGTTAAAATCTATGAAGGCAATGAGAACACACTGGTACCTGCCAGGACTCTGTTAAGTGCAAGAAACCATTTTTCCTAAATTTACTGTACTTTGATATGCCTAAAATAACCTTCCCAGTGTCTAACTCTAGAACTCTGAACCAACACCCACTACTAACTCATGCTTCCTGTGTAACACAATCCCTTATGCACAAGAAGGCAAAATTACACCAAAATTCTTCTCAAAGTACATGTCACTTTCTACACAAAGATGGGTTCTAAAAATGAGCCACTTATCTTAAGGGCCTACGGGGGAATCTGGTGTGGTCTTGGTCATAGAGATAGCAGAGAGGTCACTTAGAATATTAACTACCTCCGGTCCTGGTTGTGGGAGCATGGGGAAGCCCTGTTTGCAGAGCCCCAAACATACTTCCTCCACCCTCATTCTGAATATAAGGAGTTTCCAGGATGCTGTTGGTCCATCTCCACCAGAGTGTATGGCCCACCTTACTTTTCCATATGTATATATGTCTGCCATTTCTTCACTCCATGTCACCCCAGTTAGGTCAATCCATAAACTGGACAGTTCATGGCAAAACCATTTCTTCTTTAAGCTGCTTAGTCAGTCTTTTATCACAGCATCAGAAAAGGTAATACAGAAATTAATACCAGGAGTGGGGTGTTGTTGTGGTGGATTGACCATGTTGTTTTGGGGAGGACTATGGGAGGTTTAGAACTTTGAGAACTATAAGCCACTGAATGCAGAGCTTAAAGGGCTGTTTGTGGGGTCTTGGAAGATAAGAATGTTGGGAGAAATACAGATAATGGAGGCCTGAACAATACAGAGAAATACAGATAATGGAGGTGTCAGAGGATTGTCAAGGCTCTACTGGGGTTGTTTGTTCAATAGTTTATTTGAAGAATCTGTGGTTTTTGGTAAACTGAAGCTGAAAAATTATCATTCATAGCAGAAGACCAGTACCACTGAACTGAAACCTGTGAATTATTAGGAAGAGCTGGGGCTGAAGAATCAATTACGATTAATGAGAGATCAGCATCATTGATGTGAAATCTATGGGAACTATTTTCTCAGGGTCAGAAACAGAAGCTACAGTCCTGGGAAGAAGGGCAAGGCTGCATCTCAACTTGGTAATACATAAGTCATATACCTAGTAGTAGTATTAAAGGCATGAGAGATAAGATTGATGGGGTTATGAAGAGTGGCTGGGGGCTGGTACTATGTGTTAGGGTGCAGCCACTGTTGCAGTGGAGAATCCAGGATACTGGAGAAGCCAGGACCATGGGATAGCCACCAAGGACAGTAGCAGATATGAAGTAGAGCTGTCCTGAGCTGACAAAGGAAGCTCTATGTGCTTTGGATGGCAGCTTTGGAGAGATGGGCCACTCAAAACCTTTGGAACCCAGAAGATCATGATTCTCAAGACACTGAGCCACAGAATTTAAATTTACATTTCTGGGGTTTGGTTTTGCTCTGGTCTGATTTTTCTCCTATGTCCTGGTCCTTCCCTTTTGGAATCAAAAAGTATTTTCAATTTTATAGGAGTTCACAGTTGAGCGTCTATGGGCTTTTTTTTTTTTTTTTTTTTTTTGAGACCAGAATTCTCTGTATAGCTTTGCCTGTCCTGGACTGCTAAAGACTCTTAAAGAGACCACAAACTTTTAAAGGACTAAAAATTTTTAAGCAACGGGACTTCTAAAATTGTATCATGAGAACCTTCTAAAGTTGTATCATGGGGACACACACACAAAAAGTTAAGACTGTGGTTAAATGGTGACGTGTTTGTCAAATTGACAAGCAAGGAACTATCCTGGTTGGTGTTTATTGTCAACTTAACATAACCTACGTCACCTGGAAAGAGGAAATCTCAACTGAAAAACTACTTCAAACAGTAGTTCAATCTGGCCTATGTGTGTATATGAGGGAGCATTTTCTTATTTGCTAATTTGATGTAGGAGGGCCTGGCCTACTATGGGTGGGTACATCCCTAAACAATTGGTCTGAACTACATAAGAAGGCACAGAACATGAGCCAAAGAGCAAGCAAGTAAGCAGCCTTCCTCCACGGTTCCTGCTACTGCTCCTGTTTTATGTGCCTGCTCTGACTATCATCAATGACAGACGACCTGGAAGTGTAAGCTGAAATAAGGCCTTTTCCCTCAACTGCTTTTAGTCAACATATTTATCATAAGCAACTAAAAGCAAACAAGGATGCCTAGACTTACAGCTACTTACATATAAATATGTACACATTATGGGCTAGGATCTACATATAAGGGAAAAGACGTTTGTTTCCTTTCTGAATGTGGGTGTCCACACGTAATCTTATATGTTCTAAAACCCATCAACTCCCCTGCAAATTTCATGATTTCACTTCTCTTTGTAGCTGAATAACATTCCACTTTCTATGTAAACTTTCATGCTTTCATATATATTACATTATCATTATCTACTAATCTATAGGTGGACATCAGGGTTGGTTTCATTTTCTTACTACTATGAGTAGAGTAGCAATACATATAGACGGGCAGATATTTTTGCAGTAGGCTATGGACTTCGCTGAGTACATGCATAGGAGTGAAATATCTAGGTCATATGGCACTTTATTTTTATTTTTTGTAGACTCTCAACATTGATTTCCATAATAGATGTATTAATTTGCACTCCCATCAGTGTGAAT